CTAATTTCAACTTGTTAGACTCCTTTCAGTTATTTCAGCTACTGTTCAGCTGTTTTTAAGCTAATATTAGCTTTTTCAGCTAACTCCACATTTTTTGCACTCTTTTCAACTTTTGTGTTCTTTCTGCTTTCTCCTGCTGATTTTTTACGTTTGTTTGACATTTTCAGTTACGTTTCAGCATGTTGCCTTTTTTTTTTAGCTTATTTCAGCTGTTTTCCAGCATGTTCTTCTGCAATAAGCATTCGCACTGCATTTCTTTCTCTAGTTAGCATTGAAAAACACAAAGATATTCAGTTTGACTAAAATGCTGCACAAACAAAATGTTCTGGTATGCCACATTTTGGATCATACATGTCCTCTTTTCTTGATTAGAGATGTTCATGCATCCATTGTTTTATCCACTTTTTCTTTCGTGGGGGAGCTAGTGCTATCTGGGGGGGACCTTGGACAGGTTGCAAGTCCATCACAGGGACACGTAGAGACTAACGAGGCAAAACATTCACACTCTCACCCACGCCAGGGACAGTTTAAAGTTTGAACAGTGGTATAACGTGCTGAAAACATAAATATGACTCAGCTGTAGAGAAGTGTAGCTACGATGAACCCACAACAAACTCCAGCCCGGTGCTTGATGCCAAATTTACTTCTTATTCAGGTAAAACTTTGATTCTATGGAAATTTTATTTCCACATGACCCTAAATTTAGGGTCGAAGACAGAATTACTCATCTTTTAAGACTTCACATGTAACATTAGAATATTTACCTCCTTTGTTTCTGTTTCCACGTCCAGCTCTGACCGTGTTTGGCCAGGAGCTGCCGTCGAGCCCTCACAGCTGCACCGAGGGAAGCTGCTATCCTGCGACAGGAAACCTTCTGATTGGACGAGCTGCCAATTTAACCGCCACCTCTACCTGCGGTCTGCATGGACCGGAGCAGTATTGTATCGTCAGCCATTTACAGGTGAGCTGAAACCATAAAACCACTGCGAAATGGAGCTAAATTCACGCCTTTCGAAATAAAAGAAGGTATCGAGCGTAAAATGGGAACAAGAGGTAATTGTAGTTGATTATTAAAATTGCAGGCAAATTGAAGCTCATTATTTGAAATTTGTATGAGCTTATGCCAGAGATTTATATCATTATCTCCACAGCTGGCACTTTTTGAATCAAAGGTGGTGAAAATGCCTCTCGACTTGACTGTCACATGATCGTTTTCACACAGTCGGTCCGGTCAGAATTCATGGAAACTTGCAGTCAGATCTAATGAACGTGTGTTGATCTGCCTTTCATGCAGCACCATCAGTCACTCCACAGTAACGCCCGTTATTGTTGTGTTTGTTTGCTGTCACAACCCGGCTCAGGCAGAGTAAAGGGTGAACAACATTAAGATGGAAAAAGGATAAATGATTTATCTCTGGGTCAGCAGATCAAATGCATCGGCACAGTGTTGTGCAAACCAAAAGGCTTCAGGCATAACATTTGTAGTCTGGTTTCCATGAGCGAGGCCTTTCCAGCGCTACACAGTCCTAAGGCGTGAAGTCGACCACGCCTTCTTCAAATACTCTGGATTTCTACACTGTGCTCCACTTGACTTTGTCTTTCTGCCTTTTTTTTTATCCAATCTGTGATACAAACTTGATTTAAAGTCATTTGAAGTGTAATTTCAAAACTCAAATCTGTCCTTTTTGAAATTCCGTGGTCATTTTTACTCTTGAAAACCAGTAGAACCCAGCTTACGGTTACTAGTGTTGCATGATATAATGCTCCAGCATAAAATCACAGGCATCCAGTATTGACTTTCAGCCTGGTCCTCTGGTGACAGAGATTCCTCCAGATTCTTGAAACCAGTGTTTAATTTGTAAACCAAATGATGCCGGAACACAAATGCGTTTCCTGAATTCTGGTGTGTTTTAACAACCAACAGGTCTCTCCTTGTTTGAACAGAGCACATTACCCTTCTCTCAAGCCCCCATATCCCCCCTCTCGTATTTTTAATAAATAATGAACATTTTATTAATGACCCACTTAAACAGTAAAACTGATTTGAAATTTAGTTGTGCTGTTTAATTATATTTTTGCGTTTTTAATTAATATTCCCATGAGTGTCCTTTTTAGGGGCGGAGATTATTTTAAGGGTAGAAGCAGAAATGCTTACCTGAAGGGGCAGCTCTTGCGTGACATTTGGAAGCTTGTAAGTAGCTGTTGTGTTTAAAATGAGTGTTTATGCAATTATTTTCAGATTACATGTCCAATATAGGTTTTATTCGTTCAAGACAATCAAATTTGTACATAACTTTATTATTAGTAAGCCTGAGAGTTACCGGATCCAGGCAAAACAATACCAGAATGCACCCTGTCAAGTTTTTAGCCTTCCCGGATCTTGTTCGGGCAGGATCTGGTTCAAATTAAGCCCTGCTTGAAACCTTTTTACGACATTTATGAACTTTAGATGATGATTCAGTTTTCTCTGTTACAAACATTGTTGACTGCTAAACTTCTGACCATCTTTACGTGGGATAAATTGAACTTCTAAAACGTTCTTTTTAAACTCTGTGCCGGCTGCTTGTTAGCATGGTGTTAATGGCAACACGACGGCTCAGTGGTTAGCACTGTTGCCTCACAGCAAGAAGGTCCTGGGTTCAATCCCCGGTTGGCCTGGGGTCTTTGTGCAAATGAAACTGAAACACTTTAAGAGAAGTTATATGTTTCATTTTACCCAAAAAAAGAAATGCAGTCAGTATCTAACAAAGTTATGTCCTCTTCTTTGTCAAGTGCATCACGGTACTACTGCGCTGTGCAGCCCACAGCTCGTTTTTCTGTTTCCTCATGTTTCACTCCTTCTGGCATGCTCGCCATCATGTTTACGTTCAACCTCTCTCTCGCATCCGTGCATTTCCATTCTTCTGCATGTTGGTGCCTGCACTTCCATTGCCTCAGGGCAGGAAAATTCACTATCCTGTCAACTTCCAGGTGAACATAATTGACATTCTGTGTCGAGAGGCCTCCTGCTACAGTACGAGGCAGGACGCGGTGACAGCCTGGTATGTTTTCAAGGGGCTCACACTCAACGTTTGTCAAACAGTCTTGAAATGTTCACACATTAATCTGTCGTGTGTTGGACATGAGTCTTCGTAGGTGGTGTTTTTTGAAAAACCAGATCAGATTGCATACATTCCATGTACATTTCTTTCTGACACGTTCTTTAGAAAATCTGTGCAATTAGGCTCATTGTGTTTATGAAGCATTCAGAGTCAGAGTCAGAGTTTCTTTATTGTCATTCGCACCTCATGTGGTACATGTGGTGGAGCGAAATTATGTACACAGGGTCCCAGTTACATCCAAAAATAAAATGTCTAAGAAAAACAGTAACAACATCTAAGATATGAACTAAGAAAAACATCAACTAAATATACACTAAGCACTCATAACATAAAACATTGAACATCAGCACAAACATGAACATGAGTATGTGAGCAGATGTGCACGCATGAACACATCAACATTGAAACAGATCAGCAGCAACATGAAACAGATCAGCAGCAACATGATATGGTTTTTCACAGTGATTATTCTAGTTAGAGATTCATGAGTCTAACAGCCTCAGGGTAGAAGCTGTTCCTCAGTCTAGCAGTTCTACACTTAATGCTCCTCAACCTCCTTCCTGAGGGGAGCGGGGCAAAAAGTGTGTGTGCTGGGTGAGTGGGGTCCTTCATGATGCAGGTGGCCCTCTTCCTGCATCTGGAGGTGCAGATGTCTGTGATGGTGGGGAGACTGACTCCAACAGATTTCTGTGCAACCTTCACCACTCTCTGCAAAGCTTTTCTTTCTGCAGCTTTCTGCAATTTCAGCTACTGTTTAGATGTGTTGTGCTAAATTTAGCTTTTTCAGGTAATTCCACATTTTTGAGCTCATTTTAGCTCTTTCTGCTTCCTTCTGGTAACTTCTTTCTGCCTTTCCAGCTATGGTACTTTTCAGCTATTTTTTTATAGCTAATTTCATCTGTTTTAGCTAATTTTTGTGCTCATTTCTGCTTATTTAAACCTAATTCAGCAAATATGTGCTCTTTCTGCTTTCTTCTGCTAACTTGGGCTTGTTCTTCCATTTCAGCTACATTTTAGCGTGTTTTAGCTAATTTCATCTGTTTTAGCTAATTTTTGTGCTCATTTCTGCTTATTTAAACCCAATTCACCAAATATATGCTCTTTTCTGCTTTCTTCTGCTAACTTGGGCTTGTTCTTCCATTTCAGCTACATTTTAGCATGTTTTAGCTAATTTAATCTGTTGTAGCTAATTTTTGTGCTAATTTCTGCTTATTTAAACCCAATTCACCAAATATGTGCTCTTTCTGCTTTCTTCTGCTAACTTGGGCTTGTTCTTCCATTTCAGCTACATTTTAGCGTGTTTTAGCTAATTTCAGCTGTTTTTCAGCAAGTTCTTCTGCAGTAAGCGTTCACACTGTATTTTAGCAGGAAATGCAATTCCTCTACTTCTTAATTTGCCTTTAGACTCAACTGGTCCAAAGAACTGCTAGCTGTAGTTAATTTATCTTGTGTTTTTTTTCTTGTCATGAGAAATACAAAGTAGGCGAAAAAAAAACTGCAGTAAAAACGCTGAGATGGTAACAACAGCAAAGTCCAGAGTTGGAGTTGGAGCCGAGGCGGAAAAAGGAGATGATTGCACCTCCTTGTGTTAAATCACCATTGTAGATTGACATAAAAGTGCTGTCAAATTAGCATCAGGTCGGAATCGGTGGCTTGTCGGAGCTGAAAGGCTGACCAGGCCTGACTAATGGGAGATAAAAAAAGACCTGAAAGAGGAGGAGCTGGACCTGTAGCCACACAAGTTAACATCAAGCACCAAATGCTGCCTTTCTTGCAGAAAGACGAGATGAATAGAGAACAAACCGTTAGATTTCACTTAATCGTTAAAACCTTTAGCTTCTAACATTTGAACTCGTCAAGTTTTATTTTTACATCCAAACCGACGTTTTTCTCTTGAAATGATTTGACTTTAACGATTACGAGGTCTATAAGGTATAAGGGCATTAGTTTGGTTAGAATAGATGAGATTAAGCAAATGTATGTTAAAGGCGAAGGGAGGTGACGAAGACCAACACGAATGTGTACGTCTCGTCATGCACATCCACGTGCATGACGAGGTTTCCTTTGAGTGCCTGGATGAATCACGTTGTTGTTAGCAGCTTAATCACCCCTGACAACAGACTAATTAAGAGACGCAGGAATCCAGCGATTCTCCGTGCCAACATCTCCCCGTTGGGCCCTCCTTCCCTCCATCGCTCCCCTCTTGACGGCCCCTTCTCAAACGTACCCCCTTTACCCGCTCACACTCGTTTCTTTGATGCCACTCTCTCATTCGGAGTGAAAGTCTTTTGGCTGCTGTGAAACTCTGAATTTTTCTGAGCATCTGAACAAGCTTGTCCCATGTTGTTCAACACTTTTGGCTCTGTGGTTGAACTGCTCGTGCACTCTGGACACATCGACTGTTAAATCTTCTTTAACAGGTTTCTCACCCTATTTGAAGAATTCACACGCTCTTAAACCTCTCCAAAATCACAGGCGTAGTTTGTCTTTTTACTCGTAACGATGGGATTGTATAAAAAAAGTCTATTTGTAGCAGTAATGCCAGCCAAGCATAGTTACTTTTAATGATAAATAAAATTTAAAAAACCCAGAGAAATTAAATTTTCTGCAAAAATGCAGTGTGAATGCTTATTGCAGAAGAACTTGCTGAAAAACAGCTTAAAGTAGCTAAAACCTTTCTGAAATGTAGCTGAAATGAAAGAACAAGCCTAAATTATCAGAAGAAAGCAGAAAGAACACATATGTGGTGGATTGGGTTTAATTTAGCAGAAATGAGCATAAAAATGAGTAAATTAGCTAAAACAGCTGAAATTAACAAAACATAGCTGAAAAGTAGCTGAAAAAGCAGAAAGAAGCTTAATCTACCAGAAGGAAGCAGAAAGAACTGGAATAATATCAAAAATGTGGAATTAGCAGAAAAAGCTAAAATTAGCATCAAAAGAGCTAAATAGTAACTGAAAGAGCAGAAAAAGCTGAAACCAGCAGAAAAATGTTGAAAAGAATATAACAAGCTGAAATTAGCATAACAAGTGAATTAGGCTGCATTAGAAATTATTAAAACAGCTGAAATTGGCTAAAAATGGTTGCTGAAAAGTTAGAGCAACCTTAAATTACCATAGCAGAAGAAAGCAGAAAGAACACTTGTTTGCCCTGGTAGGCCGAAAAAAGCAGAAATGAGCACAAAAAATCTGGAAATTGTTTGAAAAAAGCTGAAATTAGCACAAACAAAAAAAATCCAGCTGAAAAGTGGCTAAAAAAGTAATAACCGCAAAAAAGCTTAAATTATCAGAAGGAAGTAGAGAGAGTGCATTTTTGCTGAACTAGGTTGAAAAACATTGAAATGAGTGCAAAAATGTGGAATTAGCCAAAAAAGCTAAAATTAGCATAAAACGACTAAACAGTAGCTGAAATAGCAGAAAAAGCTGAAACTTGCATCAAAAGCTGAAAGGAGCAAAACAAGCTGAAATTAGCAGAAAGAAATTAGAAGAAGCACAAAAATGTTGTAGTTAGCAGAAAGAATCTGAAAGGAACACAAAACAGCTGAAAAAAAAAAAAAAACAGCTGAAATTAGCTGAAAGTATCTGAAAAAGTTAAAATTTGCACCAGGAAGCTGAAAGAAGCTGAACCAGAACAAACTGTGAAAAGAGCAGTAAAAGGTTGTAAACAGATCTAAAGATTTGAAGGATGTAAAACGAGAAAATAGTCAGAAAAGGCTAAATATTTCAAAAAGCTAAAATTGCACCAATACCAAAAGTCACAGCAGGATTGTCCTGAAAGAGCTGAACGTTTTGAATTATGATTTGATGAAATAGTTTGATCACAATAGAGTGAATGTTTTATAAATATTCACACGATAATTTGTTCCCTTCCTTCAGCAGAACTTTATATGATCGTTTAAACCTGCATAAACTATCTCAAACCAGACTGGTCATAAGAGTTTCCATAATCGTCATAGCGACAACAAATGTTTTCTCTCTGTGGTGAAGTGTTCAGCACGTGCACCCGTCCAGGATAAGCACTGAAATGCCAGAACTTGACTGAGCAGAGTGCACTGACCTGCAGACTGACGTGCACCACTGTTTATAAAATACACTCCTCAGTTTTGATTTCTGTGCTTTCCCTCCTTATTATTCCCCTCATCTCTGCCTCTCCCTCCCTCCCTTGGAGTTTTCTGCTTCCCTTCCTGTGAATGATCAGTTTTGTCCACAGCAAAGACGAAACAAAAGTCCAGTCCTCCACAACCTGAATGGCATTCAAACTAAAAATGTCAACAGGACCTGTGCACAGATTACCAGAACATTTTTCTTTTGGCACGAATGTCAGGGTAACAAAGTGAAAGAGCTTAATGCAGACACATTAGGCAACATGTTCAATACGTGGCACAGGCTGGGGCTGTGAAGGTCATCGACGTCTCCAAGGTCACGAGGCTCACCTAATGTGTTTCAGAATGTGGACCAGAGAAGATGCATGCTGAGCGCTGAACGTCTCTGCTGAAGTTCACCGAAACTGAGTTTTTAAAGCCGAAACAACACTAATGTTGCCTAAATGCTAAAAGTAGCAGAATAGTAGCTAAATGTAACATAAGAAGAAAAAAGTAGAGCCTAAAAATGCTGAAGCAGATTAAAAGAGAACAATATTTTAAGAAATTGAAACGATTTCAGTGTATTTCTACGGGGAAAATATTAGTAAAATAGTATAAAAAGTCTACAAGTGACAAACGCCAGAAGTCGTAGCTTCCATCTCCTGAACGATGTGAGCTGCTGAAGTGGCACAAACTACTCAGAAGTTGTTGAACAGTCATGCAGCCAGATGTTCATGCTGCTTGAGCATTCACACAGTGATGTGGTGCAGCCATCTTTGGCTTGAACTCAACATTTGGCACAACTCAGACTTTTAATCTGTTCTGTTTTGATTCACGTGCGTTCTCCATCTCACCAGGAGCCCGACAAATGTTTCGAGTGCGACTCCCAGCATCCCTACGACCCGTACCGCCACAGACACAGCCACCGCATTCAAAACGTCATCTACCTCATGGACGGGAACGAAGACCACACCTGGTGGCAGTCATTCAACGGTGCGTGGCAATCCAGACCGACGTCATCAGTTTGTCATTCTTGCTCTTTATACGGGACGTATTAGAAGAATATATTTAGACGAAACAGCCCAGAAGCTTTTGAGACATAAACGTCCTTTTAATGCACGTATATGAAGCATTCTTCAAATATTACCGTACGGTTCACCCGGTAATTCTTGACTAAATGCAGGTTTTGTTTGGTGTTTATTAACGTTTTCGGTCTTTTCAGGTAAGGAGGACGTCAGCATCAGGCTGAACCTGGAGGCTGAATTTCACTTCACACATCTCATCATGAAGTTCAAGGTGCGAGACCGGTCTCTGCAGTTTCTGTGAACCGTCCCGTCTAAAACTACGAGGCTAGCTCTTTATAATCCTTGATGCATAATCAATAATAAATTACCGGACAAGAGATCTACTTTTTTTTCTACGTTGGGGCGGCTGTGGCTGAGCGGTTAGAGCAGTCGTCCTCCAATGCAAGAGTTGGGGGTTCGAATCCACCAGCAGTCACATGCTGAAGTGTCCCTGGGCAAGACGCTGAACCCCTCATTGCCTCCGATGTGTGTCCCATCGGTGCATGAATGTGATAAAACTCTGATTAGTCTCACAGAGCAAACCAGAGCAAAAAAAGGTGAGTTTTTAGGTGGGATTTAAAGAACTGTACCGACTCTGCAGAACAAATTTCAATGGGCAGATTGATCCAGAATTCTCTTGTTGCAATACATTTGTTAGCCTAAATACGCACACACACAAAAATATACTGAAATATTTAGCTTTTCCAGAGTCTAGCTCTGTAAAATAAATTAAATATGTCCTGATTCATGCTCAATAATCCAGGTAGATGAATCTAACGAGGTTGAGTCAGGTCCTCTGGACAGATTCGTCTTCAACAAAGAAGAATCTGTCCAGAGGACCTGACTCAACCTCGTTAGACAATTTAAAAAGTTTTAGCCAATCTTAATCCAAGTTGTTTTTAATGTATTTGTCCTAGATGTTTAATTTAGTTTCACTGAATGAATGCATAGTTCTTAATTTATTTATTTATTTTTTTCAATTAGGAACATTGGGGGCCAGATGGAGATAATCCAAAGGCCACTTTTGGCCCTCAGGCCATATATTGCCTAGTCTGGTCTCGAGAAAGAAAAGCTAATCTCTAAAACCAAATGCTAATTTCTTGTCTTGCATTAATTTTTTTGATAAATGTTCTCGGTGTTCAGAAAACTGAAATTCACCTCAATGTTCTGTTAGATTTAGAAGGACCACACGTGCTCGTAGAGTCACACGTGTCCAGCTGTGTGTTTGTTGTGTACACTCAAAAACCCAGCCAACACAAACGTACGCGTCTGTTGGTTGAGCTAACATCGAGTAAAAGCCTTTGGTTCTGTGATGGATGACAAGAGAAAATCATCTTTCACTTTTAATCGATGTTTTCAGTGAACTCCACACCATTGGTTTATGATTATTAATGGATGTACTTTTTTAAAAACCTCTTTAGACTTTCCGCCCCGCAGCGATGATCATTGAGCGCTCGGCAGATTTTGGCCGCACGTGGCGCCCCTACCGCTACTTTGCCTCCAACTGCACCAGAACTTTCCCCGGGATCCCCGCCAACGGCTTGCACCAAATAAACAACATCATCTGCGAGGAACGTTACTCCGACATCGAGCCCTCGACTAACGGAGAGGTGAGTTAAAAAAGTTACAGTAACAACGTTCTTATCACATCTTTTATTCACTAATGTCTAAAGTTATGCATCATAATTGCCCTAGATCAGGGCTATTCAACTGGCGGCCCGGGGGCCAAATCAGGACCGCGGATGAACTCAGTTCGACCAACCAACGATTTCATTTTTAAATAAAACTAGAGTTTAAACCATAAAACAAACTTAATGGCAACAACTGCTGGATGTCTGTCCCCTGAGCTCTTGGCCTTCAGTAACTGTGGCCCCCTGAGCAGTTTAGTTGAATAGATAGTTACATAAAGCAGTAAAATTAGTAATGAACTAATGCTTTCGTTTTTATATTTTTTCATTTTTATTTTCTAAGTGATTAATTATATCTGGGAAGACTTCAAACCCAAGTGCCATGTTTAAATCAATCCAGTTGGAGAACCTGCTCGGTGGCCAGGCCAGCTCGTATTAGCATAACAAAATGAAAATAACATATGACTCTACATTTTCTGCATTCGGTCTCTGCAGCAACATGTTTGCTTGTAGAAGTTGGGCATGATTATTTATGAGCGCGAGTGATTTGATGAGATGCAAACGAACAGAGCTGTGAATAAACTGGTTTTAACGGCAGCTCACCACTGTTTATCATCATGATGTTGGCTCCAACCTTGAACCCCAACATGGCTTCTTTGTGCATAAAGCCTTTTGCAAATGTTCTGCAGAGATCATGATCTGTAGTTCAATGCTATTTTATTTAGTTTGTGTTTTATCTGTGTTTCAGGTCATTTTTAAAGTTCTGGACCCGGCCATTCCTGTAGAAGACCCCTACAGCCTGGACATTCAAGGTCAGTGAGGACTTTGTGTTTAAACATCACAAACAGCTTCATTGGAGTACGAGAGAAAAGTTTCCTGGAAATGTCACCTTGACATTCATTCTGGTCATAAACAAAACACTGTGTGTTATGAATAACACT